CGGACTTCAGCTTTGAAGGATTTATTACCTGACAAATCTAACGATTGTAAGATTTTTGTCAAACCACCAGGAATTATTGCTTCAGTCGTAGACAATTTTTGACATCTGGTTTTCACTGACTCAAGTAAATGAGCACGCATGGAATCCATTATCAATAACCCTATTGGTTGGAAAAAAGATCCCATACGACACTGCCAAACTTTTTGTAGCCACTCATACGTGATTGTTTCGCACATCCAGCTGTTCTCGTTTGCACAAATAACTACGTCATTAGGAAAATCTCCCTTCGGAATAGTCTTTCATTTAAAAATAATCATCGGCTTTAGCTTGTCACCATTTGCGGCACAAGCTAACACACATGTAAATGACATTCTTTCATGTCCCGTCGTAAGCACAAATACAGTTTTTACACCAGTTTCATAAACAGTTCTGTTTGCAGGAGAGTCAAAAGCTAACAGCGTTTCGTACATATTTGTTATCTGTGACCGAAATTATTATTATTATTTTTTTTTTTTTTTTTTTTTGTCAATAATATCTGTCACATATTTTAGAAAAAATGCCTTTTTATCCTGCCAGTCCATTGGTAATTGTTGCCCGACTGTCGTTATAGTACGCACAGAAATATTTTTTCTTTTCATAAATCTGCTACACCTCCTTTGAAATCATTTATGTTCATTCATTTTGCTATAAATTTTGCTTGTAAGTGAATTTTTACAGTCGAAATTGCCATTCCCTTTCCCCGTTGCTCCTTTATCAAGTTTGCAAGGTTGTCCTCGAGATTCGGCCACCTTACAGTACCACTTCTTTTGCTCGTTTCTGGTGTGGCATATTTTTAAGAAGTTCTTTTTCAGTTCTCCAATGTCGAATACATCTCTCGTCGACTTCAAACTCTCGAGCTGCTGCTCGATTTCCAATTTGTTCAGCACGTGAAATTACATTAAGCTTAAAACCAGAAGTTTAGCTTCTGTGCCGTTTAGGTGACATTTTCAAAAATTTTCCTCTCCCTTCTTACTTAAAAACTATCCAACAAGTACTTGTACCCAAACTGATGGGATCTGTATCTGGCAGAATGCCAAGAAAAATCGATTCATGCTGAAGGGGAAGAAATACATCAGAGTTCGTTATTGCGATGCAGGTGGAGTCGTGTCCGCCTTTGAAAAAATTGCAGAAAAGGCAGGGGTGGGGAGAGGATGGGTCCTGGAGGATTCATAGAATGGCAGAGGAGCGAGACTATTCAAACTGATGAGAATGTTGATTTGAAAGGGGGAAGAATGTTATTGTTCTGATATCTCTTTTAGGGTGAATAAGGCATGTAGGTCTGTTCAAGGGAAAGAATGTAAACAAAATAACGTTCGCAAAAAGCAACTGAGTGGTCTTTTGTGTGAGAACAGCACCAGTCTATGCACAATGACAAGGCCATCCAAACTATGTACAATGACCATCATAGGAAATATTTTATTTTTAGTGCACCTAAACGCCGCATGGGTAGAAACGCTGCACCTGCTGAAAATTTAAGTTTTAAACATGTAAATGCTGCGGCGTTTCTTCCGGAAATTACGGTAAATAGAATTTCCTAGAAAGTTTGCAGACCTTACCAAAGCCCTGGAAGTATTTCTAATTTACTAAAATATACTCTTCATTATTAACTTTGCTTTTCAGGAATGTTTCCACTTAAAATTATGGCATATTCAAGTGACTGCTTACCTCAGATTCGGGGGGGGGAGCATAATTTGAGATCATTAGGATATATATTTTTATATTACAGCAGCTTTCTCAAGTATATTTGAAAGAAGACTTTTTTTAATTCCTTTACATTCGTATATATATATATTTCGTTTTAAATAGTGCAATTTACCGTTATGGGTAGTAGTTCACATGAATATTTAATGTTAAGTTAGAATTCTAAGTTGTATAATTATGAATGTTGATATTTTAATGTTTTCCATATTCATTAATTTATAAAGATACATTAAAATTTATTTCATACATCAAAAGGTACATATTGATTTTAGTATGATTTGGCACTAAAGTGCTAGACAGCTATATTCGCAATAAAATTTACTGTTGAATTTTGTATATAATATCTTTTTCATACGTTTCTAATATTTCACTTATTCCATTATATTGTGAACCATACTGCATTTCAGTTCGTCATGAGAATTTTTTTTTTCACATTTAGTTCTTGCCTTTTTTAGAGCACTGTTATGTACTTGATGGCTCAGTTGTCTTCGTTAGTCATCTGCGGAACAAAGGGTTATTCTATCATATCCAGTTAAAAAATAATTTTTGTTGTCTGCTATATTTAAATCATCAGTGTTTGTGCAATTAGTACATTCAAAATGAATTTTATTTATAGCAGACTGGACCTCTAGTTTTTTTAACTAATTAATATTTATTTTTTTAATTGAGATTTTTTCCCCATAAGTTTATTTTCCCCCTGTTTATACTCTTAGCATTTGTTTATTGCTGTCTATTATTCAAATCATCCAAATTCTATGCATTAATTTTACTGAAATCATAATACACAATTATTGCTAATTAAGTTTCATTTATATTTTAGTTTAAAGGTGTTCATTTTTAATCATTTTATGTCTTTCTTTCCCAGTTCAGTCTTTCTTAATAATTGTAGAAATATACTTCGAACACAGTTGTTCTTTTATCTGAGATTTTGTTTATACTAATTTTTATTATTAGTGATTAGACTTTCTGTTTTGTTTACAAAGAGCAAATAGTTTGAATTTAAATTATTTTATTTCTAAGCTTGGAGAACTAATACCAGTTGCCTTGTTTTATATTTTGAAATTTGAATTTTTTTTAAACAGAGTTTATTAATTGTGATGCAGAGACTTCTTCACATGTTATAAACAGGAATCAAATAATTGCATTCCCTTGATTTTAAATGCTGCTCAAAGTTCCATAGGAAGACTTTTTTCATCCCTAATTGCTTCATTACATGCCTTTTAAACATATCATTTGATTGGCCAATTTTGTCTAACTGCATGAACTCTTGAATGAAGAGTGCATGTCATAAGATTGCTTTAACAGTTGATGAAGGAAATACCAATTTATTTAACAACCATTTGCAAAGTAAGAATGGCTATTTACTTGTGTGTTATGAATGGGGCCTTAAGTATAGTTATAAAACTCCAAGCATAGGTTCTTGGGAGAGGGTTCTGGTGTATGCTAGAAATACTGTGTAACATTGGTTTGCTTAGACAGCTGCTTCAAAAAAGTAATAGACCTCAATATACTTGCTCAACATTTTGATAAGGATGGTTATTTCTCCCTGGTTTCAGGGGTTGTCTTGCTCATGTCTTGTAATTTTTTAGGGCACAGGCAATGTTGTAACTTGATATTTGTGCTTATTTAGCTGCTTTGTTTTATGTTGATTTTTAGGTATTGTTTTATTCCATATTTGTTTTTTTATTTATGTATTTCATACTTTTTTCATCAACTAACATCATATTTTGTTTTTGTATTGTATATTTTCTGTAATCTTGATTTTCAATCAGTTTTTAGTTCTTGAGTTATTTTTTAGTAATTTTAATTCTGAGTAAAACTTGAAATCCATAGCATATGCTATCTTCTTGACAAGAAAATTTTGTTTCCATATTGGTAACATTTTAGTGGTTTGTGACTGCTTAATGATGTTTCTGGGCCTCTAAAACTGGTTTTTCTTGAAGATTTGAGTAGTGCCTTCACTCAGCCTTTTGGCTCTGGTGAAAATAGGTGGGATAGGAAGAGTTGTGATTTAGTTGATGTTTGTTTGCTTAGACTGATCTGCTGTTGAGTTTAAGTGTTCAAAGATTTTTAGACATTCATGTGTGAGTGATTTGTGGTATGCTTATTTTCATCTTGTATTGAGCATTTTCTGCCAGCTGAGCCGTTTTTGTTTGTTTTTCTTCATAATTGCGGATTATTATCCCTTGAATCTGCAATGCAGTTCAAGTTTTCCTCTGCACCTCATTTAAGAACTCCTTGATAAATGTGTAATGCATAACAAGAATGCGGTAGAAAATTGATGTTAATAGATTATGTGACAAGCATATTTGTGCAGATTGTTTGAAAAAGTAGTGATCAATACCCTTTGTTAAAAAAAAATCATGTTTACAGAGTCATAGAAATTGTGCTGTACAAAACACTTGCAACTTCCGTATCTGCTCATAAACAACTAATATTATTATTTGCATGAATTAGAAATTAGAAATGATTCTAATATACTAGAATTTTTATAAAATAATAATTCCACGAGATAATAACTCTCATGACAATAAAATTTCATTGGAATATTAGCATATTTTTATCCTTTGAAAACATAAAAATTACTACTGTGAAAATTTTTTTGTCATACCAGTTTTAACAAAATAATGTATTAAAGAATGTTTTGCTACAGTATATCACAAAAAAAAAAAAAAATCGCCAAATGGCTTTTAAGGAGAAAACAAATCAACCTTCAATATTCTAATTTATTTATTAATCGACCTCTGAAGGCAAGTTGGAAATATCAAATGTCCTCAATTTTTAAATTAAATAGCTTGGTCAATTTTTATTGTATGGGAGTCAAACGTGTCTGAGTATTACTTTTTATAATGAATGTAATATTTGTCTAAGTACATTAATTGGAGAACCATATAAAGTTAGATTTTGTAATTTTTATTTAATTGATATTTGTAAATTTTGAAATGCCAAAGCATTAATTTTTACATCTAAAATATTTTTGTAATTTGAAGTCTATGTGTACAAGCAGTGGATGCAGAAATAAAGGACGGGTAAATACTTTGTGGGGCACAGTGTATATTTTTTTTTTTATCAGTCACTTTTTTTTTTTTTTTTTTTTTTTTTTTTTTTTTTACATTTTGCACTTATTTTTAAAGGTTTAAAATTAAATGCTTGAAATTTTCATCTGTGTGGGAAACATGATTGAATTTCAGTTAGTTGAAAAATGCTTCTTGTTTCAGTGAACCCATGGTTTAAATAGGTGTGTGTGTGTATATATGTAGGGTTGCCGAATGGGTGCTGAGGCTGTACATGCTTTATTAGAAGCTACACCTGATTCTGAAGCATGTGTTGTATCTTTGGATGGCAATCAAGCAGTAAGAGTTCCTTTGATGCAGTGTGTTGAAAAGGTAAACTAAATTTTACGTTGCTTTTAATTACATGCTATCAAATAAATACAGTCAAAAGTCGTTAATTCGGACACCCATAATCCGGACGTCAAATCTACAAACATTCTGCTCATGCGTGTCGCGTTGATGCATGTGCGTAAGACATTTACGGCTGCGAATATGCGTGTGCGCATGCGCATAATACGTTTACGCATGCGCGTTTACTGTATAACGGACGGTATAAGCTAAGCTGAAATTATCTAATTCAGTTAATGTTGCAGATTGCGTTGTTCCTTAATCTTCGAACTGGATCCGGCTTATTATATTTTGCAGACTGTTACAGAAATTTTATAAAAGTAAGCTTGAACTTTCGATTATGTCAAATAGAATTTCTGATATATATTTACTAATATGTAAAGGATCTACAAAGCGAAAGTATGTTTCGAAGTCCATTAAACAAAAAAGTGGAATTGCTGCAAAAAATGGATAAAGGCATATCCTTCGTGTCTCTAACCATTCTGAAATCTGTATCAATTTCATGCTGCTCTGCGGCGGGGGGAGGGACTCCGCGGCGCGCAATGAATTGGTCAGTCAGCACTATCCTTATCTTCAGGGCAGATGTTTTAATTTTTTTCGGCTTGTAATTCCTTACTAAATGTAGTATTTCATCTCGATGTACTCCGTCTTTGATATGATTTAAATCAAATTCCTCCTCATTATAATTCGTTTCCGATAGTGAAGAAAGTGACACAGAGGTTATTGAAAACGAAAAAAATTCGATTCACAAATTAGTCGGTATTCTCAACACAGCAATTATAGGACTTGAACAGCGGAGCTTTGTAACTGAAGAAGAAATTATGTCAGTTTATAGAATTAAAGAGAAAGTGTTATCACATAAAACGAAGCAACTTAAACAACTTACATTGAAAGAAATGTTTAATAAAGTAAACAAATAAATATTAAGCTCTTTTTTTTTTTTTTTTTTTTTTGTAAATTTTCATACCCTTTAGATCATAATTGTTCTTTATTTCATAAATTACGGTTTCATATTTTTTATTTTATAATTTCTGCATGCCATCTTACGAGATTTAAACTGATGATCTATAATCCGGAAAAATCGATAATCCGGAATCGCCGAAGTCCCGACGAGTCCGGATTAACGACTTTTGACTGTATAGCATTAAATGATCTGTGTTACTTCTAAGCCATCCCATATGAAATGCATACTGTTATTCGTTAATTATTATTTATTTATTACCTAGACAAAAGCTGTTGGTTATGCTATGGATAGTAAGCAGTGGGAAGAGGCAGTTAAACTTAGAGGACGGTAAATTTTTAATTTCAGTCATTCTTTTCTGTTTTGTTGCATTAAATGTAATTATTTCTTTGAGCTAGTTTGTTTGTATATGTATATGTATGTAATTGTTTATTTAATTATTTTTTTTTACATTTTAGGAGTTTTGAAAGAAATTTGCAGACATATAAAATGCTAACTAGATTAAGACCTCCGAAGTCAGTTTTTGATAATTTGGGACATGGAAAGGTTATATTTCATGATTAATTAATGTTTTCTTTAACTTATAACAATCTGGCTTGGCATTTTTTAAAATATTTATCTATTGTTAAATGTTATATATCTCTGTGTGTATGACATTATTTTCTATATAATTTAATTTTTGAGCAATGCATTTACTTCTGTAAATTTTCATCAAAAGCAAAGTATCTGATTCTACCATTTTACAAGGTAGTATACATTATACTGTACTCTACCATTTTGCAAGGAGCTTGTGCACATTGCCTTGAGAAACTTAATTCTTGGAGTTTAATAAGAGAAAAATGGCATATTAGAATTTATTTTCATTAACCTTTAAGAGACGGGACAGTTTGAAAAGATTTCACTTAAAAAGATGGGAAATCCAAGTGCATTTCCACTCCCCCCCCCTTTTAGCTGCCATCGTAAAGGGAAACTACTACTCTTTTGCAACTTTTCCTGTAGGTTGCCTTTGGGGGTCGCCTTTGTTAATTTTCAGATAAGAGACTAGGGAGTATATCGCCTTTGTTAATTTTCAGATAAGAGACTAGAGAGTAATATAAAAGAATTTGTTGAATTTGTTCTCTTTTCTGCTGTTTCTTTTCCCTAAACTATGGAAACATATTATGGTGAGATTTCGTAGCTAAATAATTGTCGTATGTTGGAATATTAACATTTGACAGTGCATCATAATGAAAATACGCCTTAGCAGCAAATGCACGCCTATAATCAGTTCATAGTTTATTCAGTTTTTATTTGTTTACAAACTGAATTTAGTTTAAAATTACATGTACTAATTAACATTTTTAATTTATACTCGAAAATGATGTTAAACTATTTGTTTCTTGTATTAATCGGCAGTTCGCTTTTATTTGTTTCCAAGCATTGTGTAACAGCTTATATTTATATATTAAACAAATCCCGTTGTGTTTTTCTTATACAGTCAAAAGTCGTTAATCCGGGCACCCATAATCCGGACCTCAAAGCTACAAACGTTCTGCGCATGTATCAACGCATAATGTGTTCACGCATGCGCATAGGTGTTTAGGCATGTGCATGTGTGCATGCGCATAATACGTTTATGCATGCGCATTTAATGTATAACGGACGATATAAGCTAAGCTAAAATTATCTAATTATCTATTTCAGTTAATGTTGCAGATTGCATTGTTCCTTAATCTTTCAATTGGATCTGGCTTATTATTTTTTGCAGACTGTTAAAGCAATTTTATAAAAGTAAGCTTGAACTTTCGATTATGTCAAATAGAATTTCCGATGCTGGAGCTGCCAAAAGATCTACAAAGCAAAGTATGTTTCTATGTCCATCAAACAAAAAGTGGAATTGCTGCAAAAAATGGATAAAGGCATATCCTTTGTTTCTCTAACCATTCCGAAATCTGTTTATCAATTTCATGCTGCTCTGCAGGGGGGGGGCATCAGGGTGCGCAATGAACTGGAAGTTGATCAATCAGCACTATCCTTATCTTCAGAGCAGATGTTTTTATTTTATTCAGCTTATAATTCCTTACTAAATGTAGTATTTCATCTTGATGGACTCCGTCTTTGATATGATTTAAATCAAATTCCTCGTCATTATAAATATCACGAGTACACATCAAATAGTTTTCTGGTTGCAATTTTCTAATTTCGACTATGCGTAATGTATGCTTTACGCATGCGCGCGTTGAAAGAAATGTTATATTAAGCTTTTTTTTGTCAATTTTGATACCCATTAGATCATGATTTTTTATTATTATTATTATTTTCTTTTACTTTAAAACAGATTTTATTCATTATATTTTCATTGCATTGCACTCCATTGCATTTTGCATGTTTCAAACAGCAATGTTAAATACAAAAATTACAATAAAAAGCAGAAATATAAAGAAAAAAAATACACTTTTAATGACACTGAAAAGTTGGTGAAATTAATACTAATGTAAAATTGCTAAGATTTCACTGCTGAGGGAAACGAAAGGGAATTTACGAAACTCCAAAGTTGGGAAACCCGAAGGTCATCTCGCATATGTAGCAAGGGAGGTTATTTAGACAATGACTATCTCCACTAGTGATGAGTCGGTACTACCGAACCGGGTATTTTGTAACGGGTACTGAAAATCGGTGCATCCAAGTACTCGTTTTCGGTATTCGTTACTGGAGGATCGATGAGGGTTCAACTCACTTCGGTTTTGGTACGAGGACAGTAGTATCTGGTTGTATTTGCGAAATGGTGATATGCACTCCTTGTGTCCATGAATGGCCTGCTCCTCAGACACTTCCGTAGTTGACATGTTTTCTGATATTCAAAATCTTACTCCGTACAGATAAAAATCAAACACGTGGTGACGTGGCAGAATTCCTTCAGTGATGCAAAATCTCTAGCTGCGTATTTCGGTACTCCAAATCGTTACTAGGGCACTTCGGTACTCCAATCGTTACTAGGGTACTCCGGTACAGTAAACTACTAGGGTACTCCGGTACAGCAACCGTTACTACGGTATTTCGTTACTTCGGTACTCCAAATCGTTACTTGGGTACTCGGTACTTGAATCGGTTTTCGGTACTTTTCAAAGTAACGGTTACTTGAGTAACGGGTATTTTGTACCGGGTACTTGTCTGTACCCGTTACTCTCGTACCGGGTACAAGAATGTACCAAAGTTGCCCATCACTAATCTCCACACCCTGAAGGATGGGGGGAGGGGAATTCGCTCGCTGATATTTCGGCCACAGCTGTCTTTTTGAGACACTACAGCTCTGGCCAATTCTTCGGCCACCCATTTTTTAAAGGTTTAAAACAATTACTAATATTGTATTCTGAACTGCATATATTCTGATTTGACTCAGTGTGCACATACATGTCATAATTTGTGCATATGGCTGTCTTGCTGAATTGTCAGGAAGACATTCTAAATTTCTGTCTCTGTTTCTGCATTGCAGTAATGTCCCCCAAAGCTTGAGTGTTATATTAATGAAAGCAGTAATTGTTTCTGGAAGCTAATCTGAAGTATGATCCTGCCTCTGTTAGTTAAAAAGTCAGTGCAGTGCAGAAAATAACAGCTCTTATATACTTTTTTAGTTATCTGTTTAATAAATATATTGGATAGTTGCTTGGTTGATAATGGGAAAATGTATGAAAACCATGTTTCCTTGAGGGTATTATAATGAGAACTGGCGCTATTTAAATTACATTTGAGAGGGAAACATATAACCAACCTGTTTTATTTAGAATTCAAGAAGAATTAACCCATATAAAATTATTTTAGCCATGTAGCTGATAATGAAATTAAAATATTAGAAAAGCAGCTAGGATGCATCAAATTAGAAATGGGTGGAATGAAATAGAAAGTAAATATGCCTATGGTAATAATTAAACAAAGACAAACTTTTATTAATGCTACATCTTTTTAAGAAGTTGGTGATGTAGAATAGGTACCTAATTTCAGTAAAATTGTCAAATACTGTTTATCATTTGAAAAGTTTGTTTATTAAAGTAATGTCTTCTCAAGCAATTTTTTTATCTGTGCTGTTGCACAAAGTGCTGTTCTCTGCACAAAGTCTGAAAAGTGCTGTTGCACTTTTAAATCTAACTTAGGTGTCCTTTATGTATATGGCATACTTTATGTATTATAATTTTTTTATTATTTATATTATTGAAAATATCTATAAATGCATGAATTTTTAATGCTGCGAACTCCTTTATGGCTTTCAGAAGGTATGTGAAAACTTTTATCTTTTCTTTTTTCCTTTGTGACTTTTTGAATTTTAAATTGCTTACCAAATAAATATGCTAAAAAGTAAATTTTTGCATTCATTACAGAAAGGGTATACTCTAGCTGTAATGCATGTTGGAGCACCATGTTGTGGAATGAATGCTGCTGTGAGATCATTTGTAAGGAATTGCTTATTCAGAGGTGACACTGTTTATGGTATTCATGATGGTATAGAAGGTCTTATCGAAGGAAATGTAAATATGAATTTTAAATTGTTTCATTTTTTTCTCTGTTCTGAATATATAAAATTACTTCATAGGTGTATGAATATATTGTATTCTGAAAAGGGAGTGCATGCTCTATTTCCATAAGTGTATTGATTCTAAAACATACATTTCTGTTCTCAAAATAAATTAATTGTACTGTTAAAGTAAGTTATTTTTGCACAAAGCTGTAATTAAAATCGCAGAAATTTTGCGTATGACCTGCTAAAACAGTACTTTGCAGCATTTATTTTATTGTATAAGTAACACTTAAATATTATGCAAAGGGTTATACATTATATTTTAATATAGATGCTAACTCATCTGATTTTACCAGGAGACACAATTTTCTATTGAATCTCCCAGTCAATTGTCAGATCTTCCATTTTTTAATTTTTAGCTTTTATTGAGGAAGACTACTAAGCAAAATGTTTATCAGAAATAAATTTTTTGAATTAATGAGATTTAAATTATTCAAATTCCTTTTCCCCAGCTCTAGTGATTTTCAGCATAATTTTTCTTATTAAATTTACTTTCATCTGACTTGTCTTTTTCTTCAATAGAAGTTTGAAAGCTAATTTTTAATCAGTTAATATTTGTATTTAATTTTGCTTTTACATGAATATATGATGCATTACTCTGTTTATCCACACAAGAGTATGTACTTTAATTATTAAATTTATTTTCATTATATTTAAAAATAATAATAAGAAGAGATTTCCTTACCTGCTCAGATTTTGTCAATAATGTAATTAAAAAATTACAAAATAAAATCAAGCAAAGAACTTAAACTTAGAATATTAATTAAATATTAATATATTTGACATCAAAACTACATTATAAGTAGTTCAATAATTTGAATTATGCATTATAAAGTCAGTTTGGGATTATTTTGAAATGGCATCACTGCATAGCATGAAAACCTTCTGTTTTTTCATATTTCAAAATTGGCAGCTATCCTTCAGTGATAGACATGCTCTAAACATAGTCTCAAAAAGCTTGCTAATAATGAAAGTATGAAATTCATTTTGATCATGATTCAAAACGTGCTGCAAATAAAATTATATTTGCTATGTTGCATTAGTACTTTTAATATGGGTCATTTATAAAATCTCAAAATAAGTATGTACCACTAATGTTTGTAGTAACAATTCCTTGGTAATTAGGTTGTGTAATAAATGTTGTCATCATATATCTAAATACAGCTGAAGACATCAATAGTAAGGATAAAATGAACGAATCTGCTGGATTTCAGTACAGCTCCCACTGCCATTATGTCCCAAAAAAGGTCCTGGGTATTGTAAAAATTTGACCTGAATTTCATTACTGCAGCTGCTTCGTATGATTATGAAGATATTTTGTAAGTGATTTTGATGTCGAAGACAGAGAATAGAGTGGAAAGATGAAAATGCATTATTAGATGAAGATTCGTCCCAAACGCAAGTAGAACTATTTACATTAGGAGTAAATCAGCATGCAATTTCACATCATTTAAAATCATTAGAAATGATTCAAAAGCAAAGAAATTGGGTTGCATATGAACTGAAGTTGAGAAATGTTGGGTGGCAATTTTTTACAGGTGAAATGCTGCTTGCCAGGCATAAACAAAAGGGTTTTTTTTCATCATATAGTCACTGGTGATGAAAAGTCGATCTACTACGATAACCCAAAGATGAAATTATGGAGACCACCTGGCCATGCTTCAACATCGACAGCCAAGCCGAATATTCATGGGAAAAAATGTTGTGTATATGGTTGGATCAGTTTGATGTTGTGTATTATGAGTTGCTCAAATTGAACAAAACCATTACTAGGGCTCTCTACCAAACACTGTTGATGAGATTGAGCTGAGCGCTAAAAAAAATTCACCCACTACTACTCCAGACATGACAAAATTATTCTTTTGCATGATAATGCTCATCCACATGTTCTGGCGTTAGTCAAAACCTACTCAAAAACAATCAAATGAGAAGTTTACCCCCTCCTGCTGTATTCACCAGGTATTGCTCCAGATTATTATTTGTGTTGATTGATGACGCATAGCCTGTCTCAACAGTACTTCACATAATATGAAGGTGCCAAAAAATGGGTTGATTTATGAATAGCCTTGAAAGCTGAAGCATTCTTCTGGCGTGGTATCCATATGCTGCCAGAAAGATGGGAAAAAGCAGTGGGTAGCAATGTACAATACTTTGAATAAAACAAAACATACCATTCTTTCACAATAAGTACCCAATTTCGATAAACGACAGAGATTTATTTGTACGCACGATAATTTTCTTTATTTTGTATCTAGAATTATGTAATTTCCAAATAATCGCTGGTCCAAGTTTTGTTTGTTAGTATTTGTAATTCATTATTCTGAATTTTTCTGTTTTTTCCATTCAGGGCATACACTGTAATTTCAATTTTTTTCAATTTTTTACGTATAATACTGATTCTAACATACTTTTTGCATGCCTACTATTTCATAAATGATTTGCTGTGCTTATGTTTAGATTCAAACTATGAACTGGAGTGATGTGACAGGTTGGGTTGGACAAGGAGGTGCCTTTTTGGGTACTAAAAGGTAAATCTGTTGCTAAAATCATCTGTAACAAATTATTTTAAGGATGTTATATACAGGCATAAATTTCTCTTTTTTGTTCCAAAAGGAAAATTCCTTTTAAAAACCTTTAAATTCTGAAGTGCTGTGACTTAGTCATTAAGTATTGATAGTTCAGCGATGTGTTTGACTAGAAAGTATATTTGAATGATTCATATATTTTTTTATGTTACATAGTATTTGAAAACGGTAATCACAGAAACATAATTTTATAGTCAAGAAGTAGTATTTAATAATTGCAATTAGTTACGTGTTGATTCTTGATATATATTTCCAAGCACAAAGTTTCTTCAAGTATGATGCAGAATTTTATGAATGGAGACTGAATACTGCTGAAAAGAAGTCTAAAGCAAAATTTATGGGTAAATATAATAAATTCAAATACATAAAATAAAAAGCTATAAATACGTACTTCCTACCTTTGTTCATAGTATTATCTAACACTGGAAACCGTGATGATACTTGTGGTAACTAGATACATAATACAAAAGGGAAAATGCTTTTTGAAGACAAAGCACTTTTATTTATTGTTAACTGATAAATGGCCATTTATTGAGCTGATGACATGCATAAGCTATGCAACAGGAAAAGTCTTTCTGAATTATGCTGCATAATGTCCTAACTGAGGAGCTTCTAAAATCATCATCCTACCAGTATTATCTCAGTTTTAATTCATCTTATCCATGGTTGCTGCCAGATGATTTGGAATCCTGCTGGTTATGATATTTTGATATCACCTTGATTATGCAATATGTGTGACTATTATAAATGTGAAGTATAAGCATTTAAAGCAGTCATATTCCTAATTTAATGTCAGTTACTTTAGGTAATTGATTTTATTCTCAAACTTATTGTAAAGTTATTTTTAATAGCAAAGTATCCTGTGTACATCTGTTTTATTTTTAGTATAGTAGTATAAGAGGAAATTTGGTTACATATGTAATTCCTTTAATTTATTTATTTCCCATTTATTAACAGGTCCTAATATTTTTTTTTTCTTTGGAGGTCCTTAAATGTCAGTAATTTCCATCTAAGGAAATATATATAAATCTTCCTTAAGCTATTACTTAGAATTGCAGATGCTGAATATGGAATTAGATACATCCATATACTATATAATATATAGACTATAAATACCCATATACTATGTATTATATAGATTACAAATTAAAGAGGATAGAAACAATTATGAGACTGTAAGTTAAAGATTGCACAGATACACGATAAATTCATATTCTCTGTAGAAATACATAATACATAAAAGCTAACACATGATAAGCTAATAAACCGAAATATTTATCTGATAGCAGTTAGCTTACATTTAAAGTTTGTGTTAATTATATTATATAGTTAGTATGTATATTAGAGGTTATAAGTTAACACTGTTAATATTTTAGTAACTGGTATTCTAAGTATGTGGAGATGATTTAAAATACTTTTTTCATAGAACCCCCTCACCCATTATGTGGAAATTATTTTCATAAAAGTTCCCCCACCCTGTATTTTAAGAAACTTTTAAATTGGAAATGTATAACTTGCATCAGTATTTAAGAGATGAAGTCCAGAGTGCCTTGTATATCTTGATATGGTATGGCAAAAGAATCATAATGCTGGTTAAAGTCAACAGTTATATTTAGTGACTTATGCTTTGAATTTAAGTGAAGTGGGCATTTCTTATATATCTTTCTTAGAACGTTACCAGACCAATATATGGATCAAGTTGTTGAACAGCTTAAGAAGTTCCATATTCAAGCTCTATTGGTTATTGGTGGATTTGAGGTATGTGATAAAAGCAACCACTTTATCTATAAAGAAATGTTGAAAATTTAATTTTTTGTCTGAAAGTTTGTCTTAGAGTTGCATTTTTCTATAAACCTATTTTTCAGGCATTTCATTCTGTGCTACAACTAGCAGAAGCACGAAATAAATTTCAAGAACTTCAAATTCCTATGTGTGTTATTCCAGCTACAATAAGTAACAATGTTCCTGGAACTGACTTTTCACTTGGAGCTGACACAGCAATCAATGAAATTACTGAGGTCATTATTAAATCAACTTTTACATATATTTGTAGTTATAAAATCAAACCTTTATCCAGTTCTATATTAGTGTCAAATTGTATAAGAAGGAAAATTTCAAATATATTAAATTATATGATTGTCTTTTTATCCTAAGTGTTATGCAGATTGAACTAGTGTTGTTTTAGATTAATTTATAGCTGAGCAAATTCAAATATGAATTATTTAGCTCTAAATTTAGGTTCTGACTGACATTTCACTAAACTTAGTTCTGTTGATCTGAATTCTTCATTTCTCAGAAGTATAAAATTGGAAATTAACATTTTCTAAGCAAAGATTGCTTTTTCATTGGCTAGGTTGCTTTGCCAAATTAAAAAAAAATGTAATTTATGTACAGTATTTCAGGCTGAAGCCTTATTTTTTTAGTTTAAAAGTTATCAGAGATCACATAAAATAATAAGAATTTTTATATTTGTATAAATAGTTATGTTGTAGAATTATTCTCAATATGTAAATATTGGCTGTGAACATGTGCTATCAGATATCTGATGTATGTGTTAAAAGATCCCGATTTGCACCAAAGTATATCATACTGATAGATTTCTGTAATTTGATCTGCATGAACAATTTGCATCAGAGTAGTTAAAGAAACTGAAATAATGAAAGATTCCTGAGGCTAAATATTGTCCTATTGTTTATTTATGTGGTTTCCAAGGAAGTGGATTCAAAACACAGAAGGTACTTTATCTCTACAAAAAGTAATATTTTGTCATCACAAATGAGTTAAACAGTTGTTTGCTTTACAAGTGATCAAACTGATAAAATTATTGAATGTTTTATACCAAATATCACTCCTAAGTAAAATAAGCTATTCATTGCTAAAATCCCAGTGAGTTAGAAATATAGATAGAATACAAAATGATACAAACATCTGCAAAATCATATGCTCCACCTGCGTTAAAAACTGATACCTAATAGGCATGAAAGTGTCAGTCTTTCAACAGCAGTAATAGATGTTGCACATGGCCATCATACTGTCTGAAAGATCAAATATCAGACATAGCAGACTTTCAGAGATGTATTATCAATAAACTGCATTTAGCTAGAGCTTCATCATGGGAAGCAATAAAACATTTTCAGTGTGCAAAGAGCATACTTAGTATTAGGCATTACTACAGCATACCTGAAAGTTGGTAAGCTAGTGTCTTCAAAGCATAACAGTCAATGAAAGACAAAGCTGACTGATAAGGATAGATAAATGTTGAAGCACATAGCAGCCCAAAAGTATAAGCATTTCTGTCACAGATAATACAGACTCATCTACAGGATCATGTTTCAACCAAAAATTTCAAAAAAGAACCCCATTCTGCAAATATTTATGGCAGAGCGGCAATTCATAAACCATTAATGACATCATGTGATGCTTTCATGCAGTGTCCATGACATGGAGATCACAAAGGCATTCTGCAGCAGTGGCAACAGGTCATCTGGTCTGCTCAACTAGTATTTGTCCTTTTCCAGACCATCAGATGCATTAATGGCTTGAAAATCCTCAGTCAAGCTTTTATATATATTTACTTGTTGCCTGTAGCAAGATCAAAGACATTCACTATCAGATCGACTTGGTAGATCATATTCAGCCTTTTATTCACACTTTATTCTCTGGAAAGAGACCACATTTTCAAAATGAATATGCTCCTATCTACACTGCTAGGCATGTTCAAGTAGGGTTCGAAGAGCATGATAGTGAAGTAGGGCATCTCATCTAAAACCTCAATCTCCTAACTTGAATATTATTGGACATAGAGTTTTAAGCATTTCAACTGGATATTTGGAGTCCAAATATTGTGCTTGAATTTCATCTCCAGTTCCACTTTCATAATTGGACCCTGCTCTGCAGAAGGAATGGCTCCATAGTCCTTTAATTTTGGACAAGACCTGTGTGCATCCATCCAATGTCACATTATGTACTTCAGTCAAAGAGTGGTCCAGCCTGCTATTAATAAAGATTTTCTCTTGTTTCATGGGTACTTGTGTTTTGCCCTAGTCTATATCTACATGTAGACTCTGATCTTGTCCTCTTTTTCTTCATTCTGTTTATTTTATAATCTTGGTGGTATGATCCTTGATTTTCGTATTTTATCGTGACCTATGAACTGTTTAGCATAAAGTCAGTATTTTCTTGCTTGTTAACTTGTATGTTTATTTTTTATGCCAATTTTTCCCCATTTTCTTCCCCCCTCCCGGATATAAAATTTAAGCTGTTGGGTGATGATCCGTATTAGTTACTGTTCTTTTAGTTCTGCTCCAGAGCGATTTTTTTTCCTCATAATTGAGTGTGAGTTTTATTTTGTAGTAGTACTGATTGTGTATGAGTATTGTTTCTTTTAGTATACTCATGATTTCTGCAGGTCAGTTCATTATAACACAAAATGCACTACATTTGAAAATCACTCAATTTGACTTTGCTGCTATTAAAATAAGAGCAGCAATTTTTTTACTTTCACTGCTAATGAACACATAGAATAGCTTCTTACCTTATTCCACAATTGTGAAGTTGTCCTTTCAGTTAACACACACTCTTCTTTTTTTCCTCCTTCTTCAATGTGTCTGTATAATTTTATCTATCCACACTGGCTGTATGAATCCCAAACTAACTTGACTAAATCTACTTATCAGTCTCATGATCATTCATTTTATTTACTGAAATGTTCACTATCTAATTTGTACATATATTTTTGCTGCTACCGTAAAGCAGCCCTTCGTTATTTTTAAGAGTTTACTTTTCCATTCAGGAAAAATGCCTGTTCATCTGTTACAGGTGCCAGAAACTTGGGCATAATTTATTCGAATACTTTAACTGTTTTGTTTGAAGTGCATCCAAGCTCGCTTAACATACACATGTGAACTGTTAAAGGACCACGAAATAAATTCTTTTAAATGCAATGAAAAGCATGCTGGTAACTGCAACCAGAATTCTGAAATGCCAAGAAGCTCCAGAAAGAGAAGAAAAGGTATAAGAAGCAGGCAAAAAATGCTGTGCAAAAACCGAATCATCACTGCTAGGATCATGCTGCCATAAAATCTGTATTACTTACTGGAGATAGTGTTCTCTCACTATTTAATGATGAGAAGCTTCAAACAGTGATAAAGAAAATTATTCTGTTAATAAATAGATGCAACTATAAGTCCCATACAGAAGTTGAGGTCTGGACTTAAAGGCTGCTGAGCTGTTACAGAAGTTGGTATAATTGCAACCTACTCAGCTGATATACCTTATTCATTATGATGATGATTTAAGTTTGCTTCTAATTGGACTCTTGATTATGAGACTAGTCTTTGTGTTGAAGCCACATTTCTCCCAGGCAGATTATTCTATTGCTTTGCATTATGCTTGCAGTAAGCCCTGTTTCTGCCTTTGCTTTGCATCCAAATAATTCATTTGCTCTCACTTTGTGCTTTTAGTAACCCCTACTTTCCTCTGCATCATTTATTCAGATTTCTCTCACCAGATTCTTCAAAATGTTCACAGCCCTTTTGTTTTGTTGCCACTCTCTTGACAAATAAGGAGGACCCACCTAACATCACCTATTTTTTGGGGGGAGAGGGTATGAATAAAGTATTTATATGCCTTCTGTGCTGCCAATTATGTTAGACAGCTGTGTGTAAATATTTATGCATTACTGTACAAATTATGAATTCTGTATTTCACGTGTATGTATTGCTTGTGATAATAATTTATAAATTTTCATAAAGAATAGATGTAATTTGTGTAATTGTGTTTATATGTATTTATCTAATATATTTCAGATTTGTGACAGAATTCGTCAGTCTGCTCAAGGTACAAAGCGTCGAGTATTTGTTGTGGAGACAATGGGAGGATATTGTGGATATTTGGCAACACTTGCTGGTTTAGCAGGGGGTGCTGATGCAGCTTATATTTTTGAAGAACCTTTTTCATCCAAAGATTTAATGGGTGATGTATTTCACATGCAATCTAAGATGGCAGAAGGTGTGCAACGGGGGTTGGTTTTAAGGTATTTTTCATAAATTACTAAACAATATTGCTTCTTTCACAAAGTTTCTGTTATTCTTACAGGGTTTGTAGTGGTCCTTACAAGTGCTTATAAGTCCTTATATTTGAAAATAAAATATAAAGGCCCTTATAGGTGCTTACTTTTTCTTTAAAGCCCTTATTTTTTTTGTTTTTAGTGCTTGTTTTTTTCTTTTAGTGCTTTTTTTAATGAACGTGCATTCCCCCCCCCGTTCCAAAGCCGAAACTAAATAAACAACTTTTCTTCCTTATATAGAACGTCAGATGGTGAATCATACTCCCGGAAATAGCTTTTCCCCCTTTCCCTGCATTAACGTAACCTATGGTGTGTGCGAGAGTACAGATAGGTGTACGTCATTCTATTGGTCAAAGAATTGCGAAAATCGTAGAAAATTCCGGTACATTCGGTATTCTTTTCCTCCCACCCAAATACTACACACGTATGAATTTCTATCAAGATTTTAATAATTTACATTCTCATTCCCCGTGGTCAGTTCATATTCGTGTTTATTATGATCGTTATGCTTATATTATGAGCATATGTCTGAATATTTATAATAATATAGTTGCAGTAGCTGCTGAAGTTTAGATAAACTTCCAAAAATGGGTTTATTTTTACACAGATTACCATTCTAAGGAATAATATTCGGAATGGCTTAAATAAAAGGAAAGTAATCGAATAGTCAGAATTTTTTTTTTTCCCAATACATTATACAGTACGAAGGTTGGGAGGTTCTCCCGTTTCTCCACAAAATCTCTAATATTGAAGCAGCGAACTTTTTTTTTTTTTTTCTTTGTCACTGTCCAATCTGGATTGAATAGGACTAAAAGTTTTGCGGTCTACCCAACCAAGCGAAGAATGATTCTATTCCGGAAATTTAACGGTCTGTTCAAAATTAGAATCAGAAACACCCCAGATTAGTAAGTCTTTCTTTTCCTTTATTTAGTTCTTTATTCTCCAAATACCAGCAGCTGTTGATTCCGATTCCGATTGCGTAATATCACGTATGGATGAATTACGCCGCACGTATTGCGCAATCAAGATCAGTAAAATACTTTCTTATAGGATATTTTAGAAACCCTGTTGCGCAATAACGTTTGCGGGGATAATTTGCAGGGATAATTAATTTTGATGTTCAGTCTGAGATTTATTTATGAACACTTAAAAGAGTTTTACTGTTCTTTCTAAGCAGAATATTTCTCAGTTCCGTTGGTCTATTTTTATATGATGCACATATCGAAATGTCAAAATCATTTATTTAGCCGAGAAATCTAAAGAACGGCTACAATCTCCCCCCCTCCTCTTTTTCCAGTTACCCTCGACTATACGGAATATTCGGCAATTTCCGAGTATGCGGGTTAGTTAAGCTTTTACTGTTAAAGCATGACTACATGAAGCAATTTCCCGTCTCCTGATTTCAGAAATGTTCCTTTTTTTCATTTAAATTACTTTGCTTGGAATATATGTTAAGGAAAAACTGTTATGCAATGAAAATTTAGAAAATGTTCAGAATTTTTATTTAAGTTTAAATTATTTAAATATTAATATGAATGCAAAAATAAATTGTATTTATTATTAGGTGCCAAGCGAATACAATTAATATGGCTTATTATTATTTATTTTTCTATATTTTTGAACTGAAATTTTCATCATTAAATCTTGTAATATAGTTTAGTTCTGCATAGTTTTTTTTTTCTTTCATTGTAAACTAATTCTGTAAATTGAACTGTCATTTAAAATTTAAAATAAAGTTAATTGTTTTCCATGGTTGAGGTAATGCTCATTCTCTTAATAAATATTGCATTGCTCATATTTTTAATTGCAAGTCTAATTTTTCTTTTAAGGTTTATGCAGTTGTGTATAATGTAATTAGACAGGCGCTTATTTTTTTCTTAAAATGTGCTTGAAAAGTGCTTATAGGTGCTTATTTTTTTAATTAAAATGTGGCTATGAACCCTGTCTTATATTTATTTTTACTACTAAATTCTGCTAATAAAATGTTTATGAATGTTTAATGAATGCATGTTGATATTTCTATAGGAATGAAAAAGCCAATGCAAATTACACAACGGATTTTATTTACCGTTTGTATTCAGAAGAAGGAAAGGAGATATTTTCCACTAGAATGAACGTTCTTGGCCATATGCAGCAGGTTATTTTCTTGCATTTATTTTTTAATGTACTGTAATTTTAATGTTGATTTTTATTTTTAATTTATGTATAATTTTTCCTTTTTAATTTATGCATTCAAATATTTAGAACATTATCTTCATATTTGTGAAGTGATTTTCTGCTCATATGAGAAAAATTCTGTTGCATTTGGTAGTTATATCTCTTTTCTATGAGATATCACTACTTATTTTTCAGAAATACCTGATCGGGTTGGTATTATTTATGCAAAGTTCATACATTTAAACTCAACAAATGTGCATGTTAAAACAAATAGTGAATTATTAAATTAAGCATATTTTCGTTGTATCTAATTTCATTCATATGTTAGCTTGTCAAATAGAAGACTTTCAATTTTAAAAGTTTTAATAGGGGACTATAAATTAGCCTGTTAACTGGTATGATAACATTTTTGATCATGCCTTCAAGACTGCCAAAATGTGAGTGATGAAATTTTTTCTCATTGAAATTAACCATAGTATGTTGAATGCATTATGCTTTATGTAGTCCTTATATATTTAATCCTAGCATTGTTATATGGCATCATATTGTTGATAACTCATGTATAGTGCACAAAAAAGGGGGGAGTTCTATATCTCTTGTTCTACTGGGCCGATTAATGAAATTCAACTCGCGTTTTTCATGTCTAGAAAGCGTGACTTAGGATATATATTGTATTTATATATAGCATTGTTCTGACATAGGTACTGTGGCACAAAATCGGACTTTTTCTGAAATAACATACCAATTTTTTTTCCATATTTCGATTGTACGACTCAAATTATGCTGAAGTGCCAAGCTTTGTAAAAATCGCACGAGTAATTTCTGAAAAATTAGCTCTGAATATTTTAGCCCTTCCATGTTAATTGAATTTGGTATATACTTATTAATATATCTTTTTTTTTATTAAACTTATTTGATTCTTCCTTTCACATTTCGAAATTTAGGTTCCAAATAAAATTTGCCCATTTTTTATGATTTATTTTTACATTCTGTGTTTTTAAATAATTGTTATAAATATTTCGAAAAAATTTTTAAATTATAGCCTATAAAATTTTTACTATCATAAAGTGGATGTATTTTTAAGCATATCTGCAAAAAATTAGAGTTTTTTTATTCAAGATTTCCTAAGGTATATGGGAATTTACATATTGGGACAAATTTAAATGTGGCATATTTTTTAAAAATGATAATAACGCCAAACGTGGTTTACATACTTTGTTAAAATTCTTTGAGAGTTTGAATGATGACTTTTTTCCGCTCCTGTACAATGAAAAAAAAAAAGGAAAATAGATTGCTATAAATTAAGAAATTCGCCAAGGGAATTTGTGGCGAAACTTGAAAAAATAAATTTTTGGATTTCTCCGTAAATTTCGCATGAAACATGAAAACAAAATTAATATGGAAAATACAATAATATTGGATGGAATGCTATATATAAATATAATATCCTATGTATATAATGCTATATATATAACTCTAATATATATTCTAAGTCGACCTTTCAAGACATGAAAAATGCAATTTGAATTTCGTCAATCGGCCCAGTAGAATGGGAGATATAGAACTGCCCCCCTTTTTTTTAATATGCGCAGCGTATATGTACAATCGTGTTTTTACAATCTGGTACATGAGCCCTATTCACAAACAACTGGTCGGTGCACGCCAACTGGAGATTACATTGAATAATACCTATGACAACAAATTTATGGAAACAGAGAAGTGAGAGAAAACAATATCAGAAACAGAAGTTATTGACTACACCAAAAACATGGGAAGAGTTGATTTTCTGACAGACAAATGAAAGCTTATCAAATCGCTGGAAACCAAGTGAAAAAGTATTACTAGAACATCTTTTTAAATTCACTAGACATTGTGTGCTTGAATGCATATCTCTTATAGATGACAGATGGTGGTAACCTGAAGAACAGAAGTTGCATTTTCTCAGCAAAATTGCCAAAAAAAGTGTTAATATGTGGAGATGCACCACTAGTACAGGATGTCCTTTTACATCAAAACCATCCAGACATATTGAGACATTTTTGCTGATTATATACCACCCAACTCTTCAAGAGTAAGCATAACCAGGAGATGCTAATTTTGTCATTCAAAAGATATTAGGAGAGAATAAAAATCCTGTTGCCCTGACTGCAGTGTTACTTTGCATATGGCATGTTGTTTCAAGGGAGCCCACCAGCAGCTGAGCAGTAAAATAGCTGAGCACTATTAGTTCGATCTGATGTTCAAATCTTGGGCACAAAATGGGCTGGCTGCGTGGCCGTTTTCCTGGTTTTCCTCCATGTCACATGTATATGAGCCAGTTTTGCATAGAAAGTCCCCCATGAAGGCATTCCTTCCCTCACACAGATAGCCCTCAAGTGATTTGCCTTAATTTAATAAACCAAACCATTGCTTCAAGAAGTATCATACCACAAATAAATTCTTTGGACACTGAAAATAAATTATTTATATATATTAAATATTTAAAAAATGCTGTGCAAATAAAAAAAATAGTTAAGAACAATTTTCTTTTATTACTTGCGGTGTGAGGACATCACTTATCACTGCAAAGAAGGAAAAAAAAAGTTCCCAGTGTATACATTATAGTATATAGTATACTCTCTTATACATTGTGAATCAAATTTGCACAATTTGACTTCATTTTAGTCTGCAATTTAGTTCATTTAGTTATCCGTAGATGAGTCTCTTTTGTTATGGAAAGGAAAAACTATCTTAGAAATAGTACATTCCCTCAAAAAGAAATTGATTTGGTGTTAAATTGTATATGCTACGTGAAAGTAAATCTGGATACATAAGTGATTTACTTACGTATGCAGGTAAGAATATGCTGTATGGTTTAAACTATTCAGAAGAAAAAGAATAAATTTTATTGTTTTTGAATTGTGTCACAATTTGGATAAGGTATATATGGTATATCTGGATAATTGCTATGCTAGTATTGGTGTAGACGAGAATGTGTGCAGGAAAAAAAATGATGTTGTAAGAACAATGCGAAAAAGTAGACTTTTAATAGCATCTGATATAACATCTTGTCGTTTGAAAATAGGTGACCATATTGCAAAGTGCAAAGACAAAATAATGATTATGAAGTAGAAAGACAAAAAGGATAACACTGAGTACTACTCATGACAACAAATGTATGGAAACAGAGAAACGAGGAAAAACACTTTAAGAAACTGGAGTTATAATTGATTACAACAAGAACATGGGAGGAGTTGATTTTGCTGATAGACAAATAAAAACTTATTAAATCACTGGAAACCAATTGAAAAAGTATTAGTATAACATCTTTTTACATTCACTGGACATGGTGTGTTTGAATGCATATTTCTTATAAAAAAAAGATGGTGGTAACCTCAATAAGTTGCATTTTCTCGGCAAAATTGTGATAAAAAGTGTCAACATGTGGAGATGGACCGCTAGTACAGGATATCCTTTTACACCAAAACCATCCAGACTTATTGAGAGACATTTTTGCTCATCACATACCACCGAACTCGTCAAGAGTAAGCATAACCAGGAGAGTCAAATTTTTTCATTCAAAAGGTATTAGGAGAGAATAAAAAATCCTAGTATCCTGACTGTAGTGTTACTTTGTGTATAGCACATTTCTTCAAGGGAGCCCACTGGCATCCGAGCGGTAAAGTAGTTGAACACTGGTAGTTCGGTCCAAGGTTGAAACCACGGGGGAGACAGACTGGCTGCATGGCCGTTTTCCCGGTTTTTCCCCATATGTCACGTGTATACGAGCCAGTTTTGCATAGGAAGTCCCCCATAAAGGCATTTCTTCCCTCATGCAGATAGCCCTCAAGTGATTTATCTTAATTTAATAAACCAAACCAAACCATTGCTTCAAGAAGTATCATACTGCAAATTAATTCTTTGAACACTAAAATTACTTCATTTATATATTAAATATGATAAAAAAAATTTGTGGAAATAAAAAAAATTGTTAAGTTAAAAATAATATTCTTTTATTAGTTGCGGTGTGATAACATTAAAAAGAAAAAATTTTATTCCTTGATTAACAGGTTAATAGCTGAGACAGCTTAACATATTAGAGCAAATCTGATCATTTTATTCATAGCCAAATATTCATAAGATATTTAGTATACAGTCTTGAAACTTTTTCAAACACCATCAGAATCATTCCATTAAATGTGCATTTGCCTATATTAAAAAAAAATTCAGTAATGTAGGTAAAAATGTTAATTCTTACCCAATCCTTGAACAAATAACAGTTTACTTGTAGAAAACCTTGCCTCAATTGAAGGTTACTAAAGGCTGGAATATGTGTGGCATTGTTTAAAAGATTAGATAACTTTGTTGTGTTCATTAACTTTTCCTTTCATGAAGGATTTTTGTATAGTATGCAGTGCTCTTTCACAATATCGTTATTTCATAGTGAAATTATTTATTTCATAATGGGATTTCTTTAAAAACTGGTTTAAATACTATTATAATCTGCAAATACATTATCAACTAAATCTGTATCGTACTACATATATTATGATATTAATTTCCCAATTTTAATATTGGCATAATGAATCCATCTTATTCAGGAGTAGATTAGTGAAGTAGAAATGTTGCAAGAAGCTAACAGTTCATATATATTAAGTATATGAATGTTTGTAGAAATGATGTGATATTCTAAAGGGGAGTTTGATGAGCTGAGACAATTTTTAACCCTTAAGTACAGACATTCATTTTCTGTTACGTAAATACAGAGGAGGGGTCTCTCAGACTGCTCTATTTTATACATTTTCAAATATATAAAATTTTAAAATAATGTACCATTATTATTATTATATAAGCATTAATACACTTTGCTTGTTATATTAAAGTAATTATTTCTTTTTAAAACTCTAAAATTAATGCATTAAAAAATAATTTTTTTAATCACATACAAAAAGTGCGAAACAATCAAATAAATAAAATAAACACTACTTACTTGCAAATGTGTACAAACTAAATTATTTAATAAATTTTCCATCTACAGAATCTGGATTATATAAAATAATACATAAAGTATAATATATAAAGAATATAAAAAAAAAACTACAGCAAATTATTCTAAGCATTTTCAACACAATTTTTGCAAATTCTCTTGGCACATTCATTACATATCAGATTCTTGAAGCTGAAACATAGATAGGTAGTTTTTCTTCTCAGTCTGGGGGGGGATAAAAAAAAGCATGTTTTGCGCTTTTTAGGAGTATCAGTTACATCTGGGCTAGAATAGATTCCTATGGAAACTCCTAGCACATTTTTATTTCTTGATTCACACTTGGCTTTTGAAGCCTCCGTTTCATATGTATGTTTCTGATGATAACTCCATCAAAAATTTGTTTTTTTCCAGTTTGCGCAATCTCTTAACGATTGATGTATTATATGTGCATTAATTCCACTGACATCAAGTAACCTAAAGGATATGACCATTGGCCATTGCCTTGTTTTTCGGATTGTAGCATGTTTAGAACATTTCTCATCCAATGCATCGACACCTCCTTTAGTCACATTGTAAAATGTTATTATTTCTGGTTGTAACTTCTTTAGTTTGTTAAACTTAATAACTTCTATACTTTCAAAGTAGACTCAACTAATGAGTATATCTCAAGAATTCAAATTTTTTATTGTTACATTTTTAAACAGTTCACATGACATTCAGCTAGCACAGTAACACGTGCATGACAACAACGGAATCGCATAGCATGAATGCCATTACAGTCATAGTTATTTTAAATATACATCACATCCCTTCCTCCAGTTTATAAACAATAATAAAACTAACAAATAATATCAATACAAGTACATTCACAATATGCCATACAATAACAAAATTACATAAAAATGATATATGCAATATGTTACATATTTTATTCCATGACAAAGTTCTCTTACTTTGAAGGTTGTCTAATCAACCGTCCACTTCTGTTACTGTATTATTGGACAAATATTTTTGTTGATTCCTATATTAATAGGCACAGAAGATTATCAGAGCTCCCATTTGAATTTTCCTCTTTATCTAATAATATTCATCATAATCTTATTAACTTTGTAAGGTGAATTTGAAAATTTTATATGGAGTCTGTTTCTTCATAATATTTCTCCATTTGAATTTCTTACAATATAGGATCTAGGAGCTTTATGTTTTGAAATGATTTCACCTTTATCCCATTCCCCAGTTCTAAAGTTGAACAAGGTTATAATATCTCCAGGTTTTAACTCGGGCAGTTTCTGTGCAGTTCATCGTAATAATATTTTTGCCTAGCCTGAAGTGCACAAAATGTAGTAGTATTTTAAAAATTTATTACCGATAGGTAATTTTGTCCTTAATTTTCTATTAAATAAAACTTATGCAGGAGACAAATTTATTCCACTAATTGGGACCTACACTTAAATCTTATAATCTACACTTAAATCTTGCCCTTTTCTCATGATATTTTTCACTATTCCTACAGCTTTCTCAGCCAGCCCTTTACTTTGAGGATATCTGGGGCTACTAAATTTAAGTTCAAAATCCCAATCCTCAGAAAGTTTCTTAAATAAGTAGCTATTACAGGGATTATTGTCGCAAATGACTTCATTTCCAATACCATACCTGGCAAAGATGCATTTTAACTTTATCATAATTTCATTTGCTGTCTTATCTTTTATGTTAGAAGCCTCAATCCATTTAGAGTAATAATCGATAACTACTAAATAATTTTGATTACCAAATTGCGAGATGTCAAGGGCAAATTTTTCGAAAGGTTTAGTGGGAATTTTATGTTGCATTAGAGGTTCTTTTTGATTTCTATTTCTGAATTTTTCACATATTTCACATTTGGAAACAAGCTGCTTAATGTAATTTGCCATACCTGGCCAGTAAAAAATTTCACTGCCCTCTACTTTTACATTTCTCAATTCCAAAATGGGCTTCAAGAATTAACTGCAACATATCTTTTCTCAAACCATAAGGTACAATTAATTTTTCATTAATGAATAACAAGTCGTCATTAATATAAAGATCATTTTTAACTTTAAAGTATGTTTTTACACTAGCATGAACGTCATTACAGTCATAGTTATTTTAAATATACATCGCACTGGTTTCTCTATTTCAAGGTCTTCTGATTTCAAATGATACATTGAAGAAATGAGAGTAATACTTTTTAATTTTTGAGGCACATATGAAACGAGAGTCATTCTATCTGTGAATGCATAAAGAGAATAAATATCCTTTGCTTTTCATTTTATTTGGAAAAAATTCACCTGGTATTTCTCTCTTATTTTTTTTCATAGTACCAACATATGTCAAGCCTCTGGAGTTAAGTTCTTATACAAGTTCGATACTCAAGTAGTAATAAAGCCATCTCCCCCTCATGCCAGAAAAAAAAGTAACATAAACACAGAGGTGAGGTCTATATGACCGCGGCCCAATTTTAAAATTATTTAAAAAAACTAATGGATCCTATTTAATAAAAATTTAGAAGTAGTTATATTTTAAGTGAACTTGAAAGTACTGAAAAGGAGAATAACTATATAATTTATAAGCAGTTTTGCAGTTCTAAAATATTGGCACAGTCATGTAGACCTCACCTCTGTGTTTAAGGGTTAACACCAGGGAAAAATAAATAGTAATCTTTTAAGGACTCAAATAAAAGCTATCAAGTGGCCTAATTTAAATGTAATTAAAATGCATATATTTGAAAATATAAGCATTATCAAAATATGATGTAAAATTATGGTATAAATTAAAATAATTGGCAAATTGTGCATAAGCGAGCAAGGTTTGCTAAAGATCCTTGATCTGTAAAGCAGCAGATTAAGCGCAGGAGAGGAAACAATAGATAGGACACCAGAATTTCACCATTATTTGTGTATTTATATATAGAGAGAGAATCTTGATACACTAACTGTATGTAGCTGTACCCTAATTTTTGATGGAGAGCACCCTCAGGAATGGATCTAATGGTCTCCTACTCTTCTTTCCCTACCAATAAGCCTCTGATAAGGACTTTTGATTTGTAGTACTTGGCTTTTGCTGATCATTGGATATGAACAGCACACAGCAGTACCTGAGGATTACTACTTGAATGGCCGAAAAGAAATTTTCAGCTTGTCAGTATTTTAAGTACCTTCATGCCACATAAGCACTATACACTTCAAAACATCTATGCCTTCTCCAGGATTAAAACCCAGGTCCAACAATATATCAGTCAGCATTGCTAACCACTATACTAATTAGGGCAGTTAAAAATGGGGTGTACCAATTTTTATAAACCATTCATAAGTATACCTGTTTTTATAAAATTGCCAGTAGTTTTCACTAGAACAAACTTACTGCTGTGACCAAAAAGATCAAAGAACACTGCTGATTTCACCTGACTCTTGCCTTGTGTGTAACCATGAATTTATTCACCTTTGTAAATCTGCTTGAAAGCATCTTTCTAGCCTACTTAAACATAGCAAGCGTCGAATGATGACATTGTGTAGAAAAACTGTTAAAACTAGAACTGGAAAACTGAAATTAAACCTGAAGTTGTGAGCATTTGCAAAATTATACTTTCAAAAGGAAAAAAAACAAAAGTAGAACCATGAAATTGTCAAAAAAAAATTTCTTAGAACTAGAAGTTGAAGACTGAAGTAAAAACTGAAAGTTGTACAATTTTATGGAATTATACTTAAAATGAGTATTTGCTGTTATTCCATGCTTTCTTCCTTATAAACATAGTGTAAGAAAAGTTTTTTTTTTTGTGGGGGGGGTATTGTTAGTGAAGGTATTTCTTTAGTTGATTTTGCAAGATCTTTTAATATTTGTTTTTTTAATATTTTCATAGTAACATATCATAATTTATATGAATCAATACTATGCAATATTTTCAGTAATGTATTTAGTTGATAAAGATAATTATTTAAAGGTGCATATATTGGTATCTATATCATCTTACCATGAAAATGCAATCCAGATCTTTTCATTAAATCCCTTTGGCATTCTTATTAATGACTTTCACCTTAGTTTCTTTTATAAATGTTCTTTTCTGTATGTATTTTTAGGGTGGTAGCCCATCACCTTTTGACCGTAATTTTGGAACTAAAATGGCAGCTAAAGCTACTGACTGGCTTCTGACACAGCTGAAACAGCATAAAAATACAGATGGTTGTATTTCATGTACAAGTCCAGATACAGCAGTATTAATGGGACTTGTTCGTAGACAATATTTATTTACACCCGTGCAAACTTTGAAAGCTGATACTGATTTCAGGTATGTATTATTCATATGTTACATATTTTATTACCTTGTCATAATACATAATCTGTTTAATTTTTATTAATATATTAATTTATTGTTAACTGTATCCTTATCAACACTATGCATTCGTACTGTGAATGCTTCACATATCATATTGCCTACACAACAAATTGCGAGTGAATATCCTCTCAGGATAAATCCCAAGCTATCTTTCTTATGCTTGCTTTTTCAGTAGAATGCAAAAGCAGAAACTATGTATGTGGGGGGAAAAGGATGATGAAAGGAGGAGCATATTTCTTAACCATTATATTACCATTGAAAACTTGTAAGCCCTCTTTGAGTAAACCTGAACAAAAAGGGTTCATGTCTACTACAACCATCAAGTCTTCTGAATACCATAATCAAAAAGTGGCATCCCAGTCATGCGAGATGAACAGAAATTCAGGTTAACTAAGTCATTGTGCCATCTGTTATTTCAGGATCATTCTATACAATTAAGAGAACCTGAGCAATCTAACAGATGCTTAAAACCTGAATGTCTCAAAAACTTAAAAGTAGATGAGCAAAAAAGGTCAATGGTTCCTGAGTTTCCACTTGCGGTGGACCCCTGCAAAGACATAGGAAACTGAACTGAAAATGTGTACATACATAATAGCAGCAAATCATTTTATAAGCAATAAATTAGCAAATTCTTAGCATCCTCAGCATCGATAGGTTTGTAATAATCGGTGGGAATTTTTTATGTTGACTTTACATTGAGTTCAGTAATGGATCAAAATTATTTGCTGTTTTTCACCCACATAGAACAGACTGCTTTCAACCCATGAGGCTCCCCTGTAAATGATTGAAATTTCATTTATGAAGATGTATGTTTTTCAAATAAGCATATATTGTTATATTCTATGGGTAGAAATGTAAACGTAAAATTAAGCATATTTCTACTTCTCTTTAGTATAACTGCCTTCTTAACCCTCTCAGTGGCACAGCTTTTTGGATCTGATTTTTGGTTTAATGAAAAACTGCATCTGAAGAGCATTCGTTAGCTAAATTCATATAATTACAGTGGTATTTGAGATATGAGTTTTGCTGCTTCTGTGACTGAGCTCATAAGTTAAAATTCCCGTATCTCAAATCAGTATTTGACACTGAAATTAATTTACATGTGATTAATTCATGCCAGCCCCAAAAAATCATTCTAATTTTTTTTGTTAAATATGTTCAACATAAGAGTATAAAAATATTGTATATAAACAAAATGAAACCTAATTTTTTAATAAAACCTAACAAAATGTAATTTAAAGAAATAAACAGATGATACATATTAGTTTAGCTTATGAGATGCGTTTTAAATTCCCCACCCCATCATTTTTGCTCAATTTTATTTTCTTCTTCAGTAGTTCTTTCTTCCCCCCCCACATGTTTTTCACTTTCATTCGAAGGGTGTTTCAGTAGAAATTTGTCCAAAGAGCTGTATTTCTTTCTCCCTTTTAGAATGTTTCTGAAATGAGTTAGGTAATTAGGTAAGTATCATTAAGTAGCATCATTACACAGCTAGTTGGAACCTTTTCAGTGTTTCTTTTCAAAAAATCCGAAATATTTTCTCATATTGCCAACACATCCTTTAGTTCACTTGAAGACATAGCCTCCTCCACTTCTAACTTCTCTGCAGTTTTCAGCAGAAATTCCATTTGTTGTTGCGTCTGTAGGTCCATCAACTCCTCTCTCGTTTGTTATTCAAATTGTGCATTGGCAAGCTCTTTGATATCTCCCTTGTCCACCTCCAGCCCTATGAACTTTCCAAGATACACAATCTCCTCCAGCACTTCCTGTTCAGGTCTAAATCCCTAAAAATCTCTTTCAGTCACAACATCCAGCCACAGCTTTTTTCATGCAGAGGTGAAGGTTTTTTGTGTAACTCTCTGACAAGCCATTTCACTAATTTTGAGGCATATAGCAATGCTATAATGGTTGTTCCAGAACTCTTGAAGGGTGAGGTTTTTGTTCTGCATAACCTCAAACCAGTGTTAAAATGTTGTTGGTAAAAAGTTTCTTGAAACTGGATATCACCTGTTTGTCCATGGGCTGTAGGATACTGGTGGTGTTGGGTGCAAGGTAGGGAATCTGTACAAAGCTGAACTTCTGAGGATGTCGCACTCAAGATTTGGCGGGTGACAAGCAAGCATTGTCAAGGAGATGGGCTTGCATGGGTAAGTCATTGACCTCAAGGTATTTCTTAACATTAGAACCGAAGACCAAGTTGATCCACTCTACAATACATTCCTGGTGACCCATGCCACTGGGTTTGCCGTCCACATAACCTGTAGATTCTCTCTTGAAACCTTATGCATATTTAAGACTCTGGCGTTTCCTGAATGGTATGTGAGCAGCGGCTTGACCTTGCAGTCGCCACCTCCATTTGCACACAGTATAAGAGTGAACCTATCGTTCATGGACTTGTGACCCAGCATCTTTTTTCTTCTGCTGTTATGCAGTTTTGCTGGGCATCTTCTTCCAAAAGAGCTATTTTGTCACAGTTGGGCACTTGATGGTCGGTGTATCCTTTGGCTTCAACCATTTCGGCAAAAGTTCTTACAAATTGCTCAGCTGACTTACAATTACAGCTCACTGTCTCATCATGCCTGACAGTGAATGGCAGTCCTTTTTTGAAAATTCTCAAACCACCCCTGTCTGGCTTTGGATCTAGTCCTTTGAAGCTTCCTGTGCTGAAGTACCTAGCTTCTGCAGCAGTAAATCATGTGTAAATGACTTGTGTCTTCTCGCAAAGTATAGCCTTTGTCATGTTGTCTCTGGCAAACTGTTTATCTGTCAGCCACAATAACAGTAGATTCTCCATCTTTTCATGGACAAAGTTGCAAAGCTTTGAAATAATTTTAACGTCCTTAGCTGGAGTTATAGCTTTATCAAGTTGTTTCTGATTCAGAATAGTACATATCATAGAAGTTGTATGATCTTACTATTTTGTCAAGTCTTTTAAGCCTTGCTCATATTTATCTGTTATCTCACACTTTAATTCCATAGATAGGACCCTTCTTTTTTTCTCACCACTGTTCTTTACACTCATCTTCTTGAGACTTATGTTTATATGACAAATAAATTAGCTAAATAACTGTCTGTGCTAATAAAAACACAAAATTAAAGCAGTATATTAGAAATGCTTCTGCAGCAAGGTGAATTGAAATGGCAGGTGAGTCTGAGCGGTTGTGATGCCACAGCCATTTTGCATATGCAAAACTTGCAAATCTGATTGGTGGTTCAGATTTGTGGGTCTTACGCATGCCAACTGCTGTGATGTCACCGACACTAGCTTGGACACTCATATCTGAAGGTACCACTGTAATTATTTTAGTCTTTGTTTTCATAAACTCCTGTTACTAAGAAAGCAAAATATTTTAAATGATGATGATTACCTCATATACCCAGCAGTAAAAATATTTTCATAACCGCATAAAGGCAGTTCAAGCTACTCAGGAAATTAAAAATAACCAAAGCTCAAAATACTTTATTTCGTGTTGATTCCAAATTAAGTCTTAATGCATTTTGAGAGACAGTTTGATATAGTTCTTTCTCTAAAGATAGACACTGGTATATGTATGCTTGTATGTGGAAAGAGGTGCAAATGATGCATCTATAATATATGTTTTGCATAAGTTTTCTGCATTGATGCTATCTACTTATTAGCCCCCAAAATTAAATAATTAAATAAAATTTATTGGTGAAATTGTCTCCAATTTTTAAGTCCCAGGAAATTTTATGCAGGTGCCTATCAAAATACTCATATGAAAATTCTCTTCAGTTATTTTGAACTATTTTGCCTGAAATATTTATAAAGTAAGGTTGAATTTTGCTTCCTGCCCCTAAAAGTTCTGTTACATTTATTATTAATTGCCTTAATTTTTTTAAAATGTAGCATTGTACAATATGTAATTTTACCTTGGGCAGGAATTAATGGTATTCTTTCTCAGTCCCACCTACATTATGGCTCACTGATATTGTAATAATTTATTTAATGGTCTACAAAATAATATGCCATATTATCTGTACATAACTTAGTTAAAATATTAAGTTACTTTAAGTAATAATTTTAAATGTAATAAAAAACTTACAAAAATACAAAAAGTAGAATATATAATTAATACAACATAATGATAATTTTTAATGTGATGGTTAGGCTTTTTTTTCTACGCAAATTTTCTCAAACTGTGGCATAATTGAAGATATCGCAGTTCTGAGTTTCTTTTCACTCACTAAATTAGATAGATATTTTGTCTTTAAAACAGCTACTACAGAAAACCCAGTTTCACATAAGTAAGATTTTACAAGTGGCAATAAAATTTCTAAAGCTTTTTTTTTTTTTTTTTTTTTTAAGTAGGAATATTTTACTTTGCTCTTAGCCAAAATGTAATAATATTGTTTTCTTGTTGAAGCATCTGCTTTAATGTGCTGTCACAAGATAAGTCAATTATCATTTATTACTCATCTGAAGACCAAAATCATTATATTTTTCAATCTCAAATGGGTTTCTTATCAGTCCATATTTCGATATGTCAATATCTTTAAAGTAAAACAAGAATTGCTGACATAGACTGGTCGAGTGAGTATTAATAAGAACCTTTTTTCGTCTACTTCATCTGTAGGACAGGCGATTTTAAAATTAGAAAGCATGTCATAGTTATTTTTCAAACTTCTTATCCAGAGTTTTTTTTTTTTTTTTTTTTCCCCGTAAATGCAGTAATCTTGTCTCTCTGCATCAGAGCATGAATTTGAGACCCTTGCATCGGTTTATTTAAAGTAATAGCAAGTTTTATGGGGAAATTTGTGCCATAAAACAAGTTTGCTTCATATCTGTTTATTAGTCAAAAACATGGTGATCTCTTCTTTCAGCTGAAACACCCTTCAAAGTGCTTTGTGTCAAGAAAACCAACTGCCTCACAATAATATAAAGGGGCTGTATATTCTGGATTCACACCATCACACAGTTTTGCAGAGAACCTTCCTGTTAATATATAATACAAGTACAATTTACAACTCTTATGATAACTTCAAATACCATTAGTAGATCTTCGCCCATATATTTTGAAACAAAGGATTGTCTATGCAGTGTGTTCATATTGCACTAGGCGTCACCTTTCAAAGAAGTGCTAGTAGACCAACTTTTTGTTCTGGCCATCGATGGACCACCATCTGTGCATAGCCCCTACCATAGAATGTCATTATTATTTAAAAAATTAGCAAGCATATTAAAAACTTCACTTGCTCTTGTATTGCAACAAGTAGGTTTATAGAGTAGCATATCTTCTCTAACATCAGTTTCTACAACATATCTTATAGATGTGATGAAGCGTCCATATTTAAGTACATCTGTTGCTTCATCCACTTGAAATGTGAAATAAGAATCGTTTTACTTTTTCTATTAATTGATGATAAAAGTCTTCTTCCTACCATATTATCTGCAATTGGAGTTGTGTAATAAGCTTATGAGCATACGATTCACCGAGCGCCGTAGCTACCATGTCAATAGCCGCAGGTAGTAACAAAATTTCTCTTGAATGGAGTTTTTCTGCAGTTAGCAATTCTCTAAGAAACCTGATACAATGCAAGCAATGCTTTTGATGTTGCAGACATGTTCTTTCAAAACGCCTTTTATTGTTCATTTAAAATCTAATTTTCTTTGAAAGAATTCTCTTGTCTTGCCAACCTAGTGTGCTTGTCTTTTTTCAAGATGCCATTTCAATTTATTGGGTTTCATGCTATCTGCGGCCAAAATATTCATACAAAGCAAGGACATTGGTCAAACTTGGCCATTAAGAACCTTACATGTAAATCGTAATCATAAGTACATCGGATCATAATTTCTATATGTAGGATTACTATTTTGTGTTAGTTGAGTAACCACTGTTTACATTACCTTTACTCGTACCAGCAACCTCTGCTTTGTTCAGTGTTCTTTTCAACCCAGATGCAATATATCCATCTAAAAAGTATATTATTTTAAATCATTATTACATTTCTTGGAATTTACATCTCTATTAATATCAAAGTTTTCCAAGAGCGAAGTGTTTCATTCTTCATATCAACATGATTCTTGCAGGGCACTATTAACAAACATACTATGAGATACTACTACACAACTGTGCAGGAAATCTTCTGATTACCTATTCTTAACCTCTTTCAAGAGTGCACAGGATAATCCAAATGCTTTGTCTTGTGTTTCCTCACCTTACTTGCACTCAGCTCCGAGCACGAAAGCAAGACTTGATGATGTTTCAGTAAGAGTATTGATGGATTTCTAGAAGTAATGCCTGAGACATTCGGATGAGGACTGTGAATTATGCAACCTTTTGGCTGATTCATCTTTTTCGATACTGATTTGACTTTTTGTTTGTTTGCCTTTAAAAAAGTTAATTTTCGTAACATCTGCAATAGTCTCGTGCGCTCTAAGGGGCATGTCCAAATTGAAAACCACGGGGTTGCCTACATAGTGAATTTATCATATTTGCCGGTGTATAAGACTTACTTTTTTCTTTTAAAATAGGTCTTAAAAAAACGGGGGGTGTTTTGTATGTCAGTACTGCGTCTTAAAGTATACGTCAATACTCAGTTTTTGATTACATTCATTTCTGGAAATATCCTCTATTCAGGGTTATGCAATTTTTTTTTCTTGTTTCCTTGTGGAGTGTGGGAATATTACAGTTATGTGGAGTTTATGAAGAAGTGGAACAGCTGGATGCAGTCTTCAATTTTTAGGTTACACTATCAGGACTTGTGTTTCTCTTTATTGGTGTTGGAAACATGAATGGTCCTGAATCGGAACAGGGAGCTTACTCAAGCTATGTTCAAGAAGGTGTGAAGTAGACAACACAAGCAGGAAGGGTATACAAAACCCTTTATTTTCAATCTTTTACAGGATCTTCCGAGCTTCGGAATACAAAGGCCAACCACTTGTGGTCTGAATGTAAGAATATAAAAACTCTAACTAAAGCTAACTTTGAATTAGTATACAAATGCCTAGCACTAAGATTGGCCTTTATTTAAAAAAAGGTACATATGTAGTACGTTAAAACTATGATACGATGCTAAAACTATGGTATGTCTGCAATCATCAAGAGGGCTAAACCTCTGGCCTTAAAGGCAACCAGCAACAGAGTGAAAACTTGTAAAACTACAGTGGCAAGCGGCTTGCTTCCTATAACTCCTTCCTCTCTCTCTCTCTCTTGGCAAAAAGCCACAACTTAAGTACTTGGCGTTAGCAAGACAATTTGCATTTAATTCTGGCCGGAAGTAGAAAATAAGAAGTGATAGTACAGTTTTAAAATAAAATAAACTTTAGTAAAACTTGGGATCCTTACAACACCATCAGGAAGAAGAAAGAGGCCCTAGCATTTCTTTTGCAAATATGTGAATGGGTCAGAGCTTTATGGGATGCTGTGAAAACAGAGACAGTGGTTAAATCATTTAAGAAGTGTGGCATTAGTAATGCACTGGATGGTACAGAAGATAATTCATTGTGTGAGGACTCAGATGCTGATTTAAAAGAGGTTTCAAGTAACTCTTCATTAAGCTCTGGAGTTGAGTGTCTGGATTTTGATGAAGAAAATTAAGAGTCCCCCACCCAGATAGATTCAGTATTTGCAGAAAGTATTACTTTATATTTAAAGTACTGTAAATTCATTGTAATGATTAGTAATAACGTTTTTATCCTTCAAAAATGTGTATAAAAAAGGGGGTGCATCTTATAAGGCGATGCGTTTTATACACTGGCAAATACGGTAGTTCATTCATTGCTTTATAAAGGTAAGCTTTTTAGGAAAATTACGGTATTCTGTTTATATGAAGCCACTGTACTTGTTGCTTCTCTATGCTCAATGTCACAGAGATACATGCATTTCATGTACCAGGTAGTCTTGGAAATATTTAAAGTAAACAGGAACTACTATAGAATTAGATAAACTGGATGACTATTTAATTTCATGCAGGGATGTTTTTATATGGCCTAAAAAGTTATCCTTTTATATACAAACTCATGTATTTGAGATATTTGTAGTATATTTTTTTTAATCCTTTGCTTGATTTTATTAAAATATTGTGTACTACCTTTTATTTAATACAGCCCTTTTGTTTAAACCCTTCTGAAAATTGTTTATAGTATCTCTGCGACAAACAAATTAGGTACTTATATTAAAATGTGCTTATAGTGGTTTGCACAAAATTAAAATGTGTATTACTCTTTTATCAGACATAGAATTCCAAAGCATCAGTGGTGGCTGAAGTTAAGACCACTTCTTCGCATTCTTGCTAAGCATGACTCCTCATATGAAACAGAGAGTATCCATTGTGCTTCAATGCCTGAGGAAGACTGATCTTGGAAATTTATAGACATGTCTTTTGCTTCCTTCTTTATAAAACATAATGCAATTGTTTTGAATTTGAGATTCTTTACATGTGTATCTTACTAAAATATTAAAATTTTTCTATTGTTACTGTAATTTATAAAATTAAAAATAATTATTAATTAATTATTAATTAATAATTAATTTTTAGAGAATTTGAGAAGTGTATGTTAAATTGTAGTTTTACAGGCTTAATTTGATGAATCTTTCAAAGTTATTTATTTCATCTTATTGTACACAAAATATGCCATTGTTTTTGAAATCTTGTTACCAGTGATTTTCTAAATGAACTAATCCCCCCCCTGAGAAATTCATTATAATGTGACTTTTAAATTATGAAATACCTGATACACTTTTTTTATTGGTTTATTCTGTGTTGTGTAGAAGAGAGACATGCATTCCTAAGATAAGCATTTAATTTTTGTCAAAATGGTCGATATCATTCATTCTCATTTTTACAATATAAAATTTTAAAAATGTATTTGTATATTACATTTATTATCAATAATACACTTGTACTCTGTTGTATATCTTTATTCTTATTTTTATGTATTGTAAGGCTGTAATATGAATTCTTTACTTGAGAAAGCTCTTTGCTCTTTTATACAGGAAGTTTAAAAGAAATATAATCTAAATTATTTTGTATCACTTCTGTAATTTCATATTTAACAGCAGTCTAAGTTGCTGTTTATATTTAGCCATTATAAATTTTATATTAATGTAAGAACTTCTGATATTTATGTATTTGGTTCATTTGTTACTACTATTTTAAAGTAAGAACTTCCTGTTACCATTTCAAATTAAAATTAACCATATAGCTTCGTTTAAATAATTTAATGCTTTCTGTTAGACTTGCATTCATAGTTGTTTTATTTTTCTGCTAAAAATTCAAAATCTGATGTAAAATGTTTAATGGGACAAACTAACAAATTTCTCATATTTTTATTGATAATTGTACTGGAGAGGAGAAGCTGCTCAGAATGCATATTTGGCAATTTTACTAAGACTGAACTACTGTGTGTATATGTATTTCCTAAAGCCCTAGCATTTTTGCATAAATTTTTATAAATTTGTGTTTCCTGTTCCTGAATATTAGACTGCAATTTTATACAGTCTTTTATATATAAAAATCGTTATTTTGCTAGTCATGTAGAGGTTTTATGTATTATAATTATGGATAATGTTTTACAGTTAATCTTGAGTATTATCAAGTGGGCCAAAAGCTGGAATATTTTAAGTATTTTTTCATAATATTCTATGCCAAACAGTAGATCTTGAATAGTTGCTGGAGGAAAAAATTATGAAGTATGATTTTGTCATGGTAACATATTTTAAATTCTAAAATAAGGAAATAAATATAATTTTAGTTGGTGATGATTTGCGGGTTATTGTAATTGCCAAGTAGGTGAAGGAAATTCTGTTAGTTCATTCTTGCTAGGAAATTTAAACACTGTTTGCAATGCATAAAGCATGAAGATTTTGCATTTGTAAACATGATTTGAACTTGACATACCCTAAAAGCCACTCTTTGTGGAAATGCCATTAGATAAAAGAGCAGTCAATGAAGAATGTGTTTAAATTATCTCCATAAATGTTAGAAAAAAGGAATCACTTTTATGGAAAACCTTTATTATCCATATTCTTACAAATTAAAATTCTAATGTTTAATTATTAAATTTAATTTTTACCTGATCATGATTGAATTTCTTCAAAAGCATTTGCAGTGGTAATTATGTGTAGGTTTGTACAGTTTTCTTTATCTGAAAGGTAGGCTTGTCTTTCATCATACTCATTTATAAATGCATTTATACAACTGTTATGTTTGAGCCATTTCTTTTTCTTTCTCTAAAATTTGTTTATTTTTCTATTCACTTCATTTATGTTTGAGAGAAATATTTCTTGGTAGCTTTTGTAAACCTTTATAGGTACTGCAGTAAATTATTTGTTACAATAAAATTTAATTTATATATGTTTTACTTCTGCTTCTCATGCTTTATAGATATATTTCACTTGCTTGTTCTATTACATAGTTTACAATAAGATGAACCTCAAAATCTTTTTTCAGTGACCATAAATTTGTTCTCGAAACAAAACTACTGATATAATGTTAATCAAAGTTTCAGCTTGACATGTAACACATTTTCTGATAACTTAGTGTTTTTAAAAGTGCTTAGTTTTGAAAATCAACTGTAGTTTTAAAATATCACAGACAGTAGTATGCTTACTGAAGTTGTATTGCTTTTTAAAGAAGCATTTGCCTGCAATTAAGCTACATTCAATATAAAGCATTTCGTTATGTGTAAGTAATAATTATTTATGCACTGCAGTTTTGAAATCAACACTGGTGACATGTCGCTTATTGGTAGTGAATGCATAGGACACAGCTGCGAGGCATTGCATTAGATTTAGATATATTCTTTGAAATGAATTTAAACTGAAGGGGACCAATGATTGCTGAGGCTATTGGTCACCATTGTTTTTTGGAATGACAGTTATTGGTGTTGAGCACTGCAGCAAACACAACTTTTACCTAGGCATATGAATGATATCTTCTAAAACTGTGAAAAAGGTTCCATGAATGACAATTCTGACATCAGCTATATGAGAGTAATTAACGCATTGCTATCATTATGTCTATTTATTGCGTACAGCAGCGGTTGCCAAATTGTTTATTCATGGAGCTTTTTTTAAGATTCAATTTCTATGATGGAGTCCCTTATAAGCCTATACTGTCTTAAAGTTAATACTATTTAGGGATAGAATAGACAATAAAGGAATATAAAATGAAGAGATAATTAAACAACTGCTCAATTTCCATGCAATGAAACTATTCTTTAAATACTGAAATTTACCATAATATCTCTGTTTATTCTCAGTTGTCACCAATACCAATGCTGTTGCCAAAATTTTGCCATACAGAAAAGTTACTGCAAATTCAATAAATCAAACCATTTACATAATTGCAGATTATTGGTGGCTATGACAATAAAAAAGATTTGAGAAGTAAACACCACACATTCGGTTCAAGTGTTACATTCAATTAAATTAAAATACATATTGTTGTGGGCAGCCGGTTCGTCTGTATCTCTCTGAATTATCATTTTGAATAGGAAGAAATTAACAATTTATTACAAACAACATAGTAATTAACTTGAAACAGCCTAAGAAGAACAATGATATAAACAGGTCAAGAAGGAATGAAGAGAGAAATTACTTGCATAATAAAAGACAAGTTTGAGGCTATGGAAGGAAGAATAGATACAGTTGAAGACAAAGTTGGAGAAATTCAAGAAAGAGTTTTTGCGGTGGAGCAACAAATTGAAGAAAGAGTTTCTGCAGTCCAACACCAAATTGAACAACAAATTGATGACAGGGTTTCTGCAGTTGCCAAAGAAATTGATACTTTAAAGAAATTCGTAGCGACGGCAGGGAACAATTCCGGTGATTTTAAATTCTTACATATGCCTGTTCGGCCCTCACTGAAGCTATCTACGCATGATGGGAAGACCTCTTGTTAAGTTTATAGGACGCAATTTTCTATGGTGGCGGACGCGAATTCCCAAGCTAAGGCCTGTCATCTCGCCGCTTCACTGAGAGCAGACGTAGCGGATATCCTGCAGACTCTTCCCCAAAACCAGAGATTAGACTTCGAAGCTCTATCCGGAGCGTTGGAGCTGCGCTTCGGCGAGAAATGTTTAAAAGACTACAGCAGGCTTCAATTAAAATCCCATCAACAGAAGCCAACGGAAACACTCCAGGAGCTCACCACAGATGTTGAAAGGCTACCCCATGTCGCTTTTTCGGAGTGCCCGACAGAAACAAAGGAAATCCTATCCCTGCAATACTTTTATCGACTGTATCTGGGGTCCTGATATACAGAAAGCTCTGCGAATGGCGTATGTGAAGGATGTAAAAAGCGCTCTGTTGTACGCCATGAAATATGAGGCAGCCCAGCAAGCAACTCGTAAAGATCACTACCCAGTCAGAGCTGTGCGAGTCCACGATCCAATAGATCAGTTGATGGCTCGTTTAGAGGATTTATCCAGACAAGTCGACGCTTTGATACGAAGTAAGAGTTAGAACGGGCTGGCTCTAAGGTGTTCAAAATGTGGTGCTGAACGCCACATACGACGGGAATTCAGAACAACCCAGGGCACGGAAAATAAAAAGGATAATTTGTCAAGACCAGTCAGTGCCTTGAAATGGAATAGCAGTGAACAGAAACCAGTTCTAAAGTGCTAGAACTGTGGTGTTGAAGGCCACATACAAAGGAACTGCAGAACACCCCAGACCACGGAAAATAAGGCAAACGATTTAAACAATTAAATGCCATGGGACGAAAAAGGAGAGACCAGAAACAAAAGTACTGGAACTGCGGAGCTAAAGGCCACGTACGAAGGAACTGCAGAACACCCTGGGGTACGGAAAATAAAATCATTTCCCAGCAACGACGCAGGAAACAAATTAATGACCATATCGAGGAGCGGTAGTTGCCATATAATGAAAAGCTATATTTTAAAGTGTTCAAGATTTCAGAAAAGCGTGTCAACAGTAAAGGACTGTCCATCAATGGGAATACCGATGGCGTTCCTTGTAATATGATCATTGATACAGGAGCTAATGTTACCATCATTCGGAAAGATTTAGCTCAACAATTAAAGGATAAACTCATTTGGACGCCATCCTGTGTTACCCTCCAGACTGAGTCTGGTGATAAAATCGACATAGATGGAAAGTTTAACGTGGACAACACACCTGGAAGTGCCGTCTACCCTCACACGGCATATGTGGCGGATATTACAGATCCTTGTATACTCTGTTATATTCATGTGAATTACTCGATCAATAATTAAGTGACATTACTACAGGCTCACAAAGCATACTGTTTATTACAAACCAACATGAACTGATGATTACTTCACTTCAGTTCAACAAGCAACTAGTCTGTTGCCACATGTATGTAACATCTCCCCTCTTTTGGGAGAGTCATAGGGATCACTGCATTAAATAATTATCATATTTGAATGGTCGATATACATTACGACCACTTCTTGTTTTATATATACAATCACGATTAATATTATTGCCATTATCTTGATGGTGAGGATCATTATGTCTTTTTGGATGTTTACTACTTATATTTTCCTCGTTCTCATTACATAGATCATAATAGTCTAATGTCACTAATTCTTCTGATTTTTAGTTTTTCTTAAATGGAATTTATTCCGTTTAATTACCCTATTATCTTTTGTTCTAATCCAATATGATCTAGGAGTTGAATGCTCTTTTTAAAACTATAGCAAGCTCCCATTTATTTTCCCATCTCAACATTACCTTTTCCCTAGGAATAAATTCAGTTCTTTTCTCTTGCGTGCTTATCATGATAGATTTTAGCCTGTTTCTGCTTACTCCTCACCTTTTCTCTATATTGATCTTTTACAGTTGGTTTCAATTCTGTTTGTGTAATTGGTAATCGTGTTATTAAATTCCTACTTAATAGCATTTGACTTAATGATAAATTTATACTTGAAATTGGAGTATTTCTGTATTCCAGTAAAGCTTCATTTAATTTCTCGAGTCCTGCTTTTCTAAATAAACTCTTAGCTATACCTACCAACTTTTCTGCAAATCCGTTAGATTTAGGATATCGAAGACTGCTAGTGATTATTTCAAACCACAAATCCCTTGAGAAACTCTTCATTTTCCAATTATTAAATGGTACTATATCACAAATTAAAGTTTTGGGAAACTCCTAGGAAAAAAAAACAAAAAAAATCGGTTGTCCATTCAGCAATAAGCAGCAACCTAACTCATCTTTAGATCTATCTGCTTGTATAGTGAGGGGTTTACTGCTATCAAATATTCCTAATACAGGTGCGTTGGAAATTAAATTTTTTAAATTCGTGAATGATTTAGAATGTAGCTCTAACCACTGCCATTCTATTTTGTTTTTAAAAGTTCCCTTAATATGGCTGTTTTCTCTGAAAAATGCGGTACAAATTTCCTCAAATAATTACACATTCCCAAAACACGCTGCAATTCATGCTTATTCTGAGGTTCCTGTAACTCAGTAATGGCTTTAATTCGATCAGGATCAGGTCACATGCCTGATACATTAAATAAATGACCTAAATATTTAATGTCGCTAAACCTATATTGAAGTTTTTGCTTGTTGAATTTAATATTGAGTTTTTTAGCTGTGTTGAGGAACTCTGTTAAAATTTTATCATGTTCTTGTACAGAGCTAGTGGCAATGAGGATGTCATTAAAACAGATCAATACCCCTCATATATTAGCAAAATTTTCAAGATTGCGTTTCTGAAAAATTTCAGGTGCACAGAAAATACCTATTGGAAGCCTTAAGAATTTATAGCATCCAAGTGGTGTGCTAAAATACAAAGATCACTACTATCCCCATTTAACGCTATTTGAAAAAGTTTTGATTAAAAAAAAAAAAAAGCTAGGCAGTCTAATTAGGCTTAGAGGAGTACACAAGTATAATTTTGTGAAGATAGCACTTATCCTTTTTTAATTCTGTGGGCGTGCCCAAAGTGGCGCACTGATTGACTAGGGCTTCGAAAAGAGTGCTGAAACGAGCATTGTTGTCAATGAACTGACCGATGAGATGCGGAGAAACAAAGAATACAGACTCTAAGTTGCCCTAGATTATCGGTGAGCCCGGTCTGTGCACACCTAAGGTTCGCCGTTTGATTTTAGGCAAGATTTCAAGGTAAAAATTTTTAACCAATATAGAATGAGGAGATTAGCATACAGCCAAAAAAAATACCATAGAAAATTTTCTTTCAAACAATTCTTTTATACTCTAAAAAAAATCTGGAAGATTCCTTGAAAAATGAGGGTCTTAAAAACTAAACATGGCTAAAATATATGGACTGGTTTGTATTGAGCTGCCATCTACTATAAATAAAGAAGTTTCAGAGTAACCTATAAATCCTTTTTCATTCAATTTTTCTGT